GCAACATACCCATTACGTACTACTCCATTGGCTTTGTAGGTTGTTGTTTATTTTCTATTTCATTTGCATATCTTCTGCCGCCTAGATTGCAACCAAGCGTACCGGTTTGTGCCTTGAACTTCATTCCGAGCACGGCAGGTATGCACCTTCCCTGAAGTCTTGCCACAAAAGTTTGCTCAATCAGGTAGACCGATAAAGTGGGCGCAAGGGTGCTTCACCGTTGTCGAATTCCTTCAGGGATGGGCGTACACCGGATCGGGTCAAATACGCTCTAGCGAACAGTGCCTTGGCAGCAGACTGAATGTCGACATAGTTTTGGAGAAGTGCATTCTAAATGGGCCCTCCTTGTTCTGGGACTACAATGGCACAGTATGAGACCGATTCATTTGGATTTTATTTTTCCCAACTGAGGCTTTCAAGCTTCATTCTGAATAATACGCCGTTTAGAAATACGCATCGATGATTGGTCGTGGATGTAGTCATTTGGGTCTAATGGACTGTTTCCCTTTAGAGCCGTCTTTTTCGCCAAAGGTTATCTAAGGAATGTCTTGCCGTCGACCAGAAGCAGCAGTTAACGTTGAAAACATGCGACGAAAACGACGAAGACCAAAAGTGGATCCTGGAGAAATTTGATGGTCAGCTTTATCCGAGAGACGGACTTTAGTCTCCTCCTGGTTTGTACCAGAGCAGTATGCTTGGGCAAGGTTGTTTACAAACATTTTTGTTTTGAAGATGCTCCACTCTAATATGCTTATATTTAGCCACCTACAGTGGTCCCATTGTTTGGTCAATGCGTTTGCAAGGCCGCGGGTAAATTTTATCAGGCCAATGGAAGAAAGCTGAAGAAACCATTGTGCCGCTGAAGTGCCTGTTCATTGAGAACAGTGAACGCTAACACATAGTGCAATTCAAAATCGTACTTCTAACGCAGTTTATGTTGTTGCCGCCATCACTGATTGAAGGTAGATTCATGTCTAAGCTCATTGTCTTCATGTCGTACGAAGCTGTCTCATTTCATCAATGCACTGGTATCAATGGACTGAATGAGGTTGAAAGCTTAATCTGTACACTTACTGCGATGTTACACAACTAACGCATGTGCCTTGTCGATGTGAAATCCATGTAGAGTTTTGACTTCTTAGATGTTGCTGAGAGCAGTACGTAAACTAAATATACCTCTGATTCGGCTGTATGTCGAAATCCCGAATGACAAAATCCTGAGTGACGAAATCCCGAACGGTCAAAATCCTGAACAGACGATTTCTCGATCAGCTCATATCCTGAATGTCGAAGTGCTGAACGGTCAGCATCCTGAAAATGATATTACTTCATTAAGACACAGAGAGGCAAGATGCTAATATTTTTTTGATCGAACAGAACTATATGGACAAATGCACTTTTCGTTCGGGATGTCGACTTTCGGGATTTTGTCCTTTGGGTGTTTTGACCGTTCGGGTTTTCGACCGTCGGTGTTTTGACTGTCTCCGCGCTGATTCATGTTGTCTACGGCCAAAGTAACAGAAAAACAACGCATTGATCTATTGTCTGAGTGGGTGAGTGGACAACACGGTTAACCGCCATTGATGGCATGGTTTCAACGCGACTGTTGCCACGGGTTAAGCGACGAAAAGGAGGGCTAAATTCCTATGGCAAATTTGCGGTGGGAAAAGCTGCATCAGATTTCTCAATAATGTCCCGATATGATTTTTAATTTCAAGCATTCAAGTATTAATATACGGACTATAAATACACTTTAGAAAAAGACTTATAAGAGTAAGAAAGAAGTTCTTTTTGATTCCTTACCGAAACTTCAATGACAGATTATTAAAACAGCGTACGAGAAGAGGATGTTGTAAAAATTGATTTTCAAGATCATTGTCCATTGCTCATTTGGTGTGACGGGAGTTCCTTGTAACCAAATAAAGGCTTTTACACAGGCGAACGCCAACTGAATGAAGCTGACCTGCTTGAATGTTCAAATGCGTACTCAGTTGTAGCAGTCCGCTGTTTTGCAAAATTCCAACGTTTTCTTCCAAAGAGCGTATTTCTTATTCAATGACCTTGGTGAATGGAAAAATACGAAGGGAGTATCAAAGAAGTGTCTGTCATTGTGGTCGTGAAATTTGTAGATCGATTCCATGTCAACGTGCTTTACGTTGGCTGTGTTAGCCAGCAGTCCAGTAATATAAACGTCATCTACCCATAGAAATGGAGTACGCTCAACGCTGTCGACAAGCGGTTGAACTGCTTGCATGCTTAAACTATAGCTGCTTCCTGAGCAATATCTTGGATATTTTGTCCCGTTGAATTCTTCGTAGGACACGTACCATCTGCCCTTTTTGTTACGGTCTGTTCCCATTCCAGTCCAAACAAAGCAATAGAACGCCTTTGTGGAACTCTTTAGAGGCTCGTGCTTTCGGAAGAATCGCATAATGCCAAAAGTATTAACATACATGTCGTCATCAACTTTCAGAATGTACTTTGCCGTTGGGCAATATTTTGCCGCCCAATTGAGCCAGGAGATTGCTTTGAGACTTAAGTTGTGATAAGTATCTGTAAAATTGAATTGAACGATGTCTTCGTAGGTTTCCCATTCCCGCTGCAATGTCGTTTGCACGGAAGGATGC